TCATACTGACAAATGTCAAGTCGAATAACAAACTGAGCCAACTAGCACAGATCAGTTCATTCGGGAACACAGTTGGGAAGTACCACGTTAGACAACTGTAGTCAAAGTCAAACCCCCTCCTCCGTATTTTGCGCCCAATGGCAGGTGAAGGCATTTGATAAGTAGCCCAAATGGTAGCAAATGTCATCATCAGGCATTTTCTGGCAAGGCTGACGACGATTCCGTTTTCTGAGAGTTGCTTAGAAGCAAGATGATGGCTGATATGAATGGTAGCTCCTCATTTCCGTGGATTTAATTGGTGTATCTTTATTCCTTATTCCCACTGGTAATTCCAATTTATGCTGTTGAGCAGAGAATTAAGCCAGTGTGAATATCACGCTGCGGACAGCTTTTTTTTGGTGAACTAGCTCTGGTAGTTTCCGATTCTTTGCTAGTCTTTTGAGTTCAGCAAAGCAACTCTTTTCTGGTGAAATTGCTTTACACTGCTAGTATGAATTAATGCAGAAGTTAAAAATTGGGGCAATCAAACTATTCTAAGCATTCGCGGAGTAGTTATTTGCTCAAAACAAGCCTCAGAGTGAAGGCTTTTTTGATTTGAGTGCGATAAACCCTGAAGCAGCAGATAACCAAATAAGGTAGGCTAATAACTTTTCAGCGTGCAAATCTAGCATTAGTAAAAAGATGCTAAAACCGACGTTCTAGCTGAGCCGAAGAAGCATCGTATATGGTGATTACGAATGTCATGCCAATCAAATGCAGGCATCAGAATGTTCTACGAAGTTTTGCTATTCAGTAAAGGGATAAAAATAGATTATTTCAATACTTGTCCAATGAAAAAAAAATTTGAATGACAATAAAAGACTGGTGTTTTCATTCTTCAAGCATTTTTCGAAATGATTTTAAAGACACGTGTAAAAGAGACCTTTCTAAAAACACATATAAAAGAAGTTCCCTAACCAAAAGTTTGCAGTTTTACCACTTTTTGCATAATTTCTATTATCAGTTTAGTTTTTTATAATCCGAGCTTTCATCTAGGTTCAAAGCACTTTAGTTGCTGTGCATGATAAGCAGACTGAATGATCCGGTATCAGTACCGCCAGCGCTTGATAGTATCTCAGGAGCACTGAAGCACCTAAAAATCGGACGTTAGCAGCAAGGCGAGATCTGGCCAAATGATGCAGAAGCAGTATCCACATAATTCTTAGCGACTACTTGGAAGAAAACTGAAAGCAATTCGCATTTGTCTTATGCGATTCAGCGCTGCTGCTACCCATAAAGAGGAAAAAGATCATAGGCGACTCGCAGTAGGCGGGCCAGTGTGATCATGCGTTTTTGCAGTATTTCATGCTGAAGTAAGATCGCTTGAAATCCAGTAGCTAGAATTTGTGATATGCGGGTCCTCGAATTCCAGGAGGTTAATCGTGTAACTGCGTGGTACTCGGTCACGAAATATCCCCTTAAAATTTCGGCTTTCAGGCTTGTGGCTCCCATGTTAGAAATCTCCCTGCCAAAACTTTTATGCATTTGTACGCGAGGCCCAGACATGCGCGGGGTTGGTATCGCAGTCTTAGGATGGTAGTTGGCCAGGAAATCCACTGGCAGAATTTTAGCACCGAAGCTTGCTTGGTTGCCGAGTTGAAATGCTCGGACGATCAGACACACAAACATAAACATGCAAACACACGCACACCAAAATCATCATAATATGCGCTTTTGCATTTGCATATAAACGAAAATGCATAATAAGGGGGTACTGTAGTGAAACATGAAATCGTACTAAATCAAAAATTATAATTTGGAAAGAAAATCACTGGCGACGCTCACTGAGCGAGCCCATGCGATCATGCTTTTTTTGCAGTATTTCGTTCTGTAGTGAGATCGCTCAGAAATCCATTAGCTAGAAATGTGTGACATAC